AAAAAAAAAAACAGTAACATGTGTGCAGTAAGTATTCACATTAGTGGCTCGCCAAATCAGAAAATACCAGTTTACAGTGTACCTAATTTCTTGACATTATAAAGTTTAAAAAGTTTTCAAGTATTTGGTATTATTTTAAATACAGTTGTTATAATCAGGTTTGGTAAGACAATAATTTGAAAATACAAGTTTTGTGATAAAACAACTAATATACTTTTTAATTCCTAATTAATCTATTACTGTGCATTTGTGATTCTAAACACATGTTGCAAAACACCTACATCAGAATTGCCTGTGGTGTTGCTTTAAAGTGTGGGGCCCTAAGCACCATCCCTAAACTTATAAAACTTATATTCTAATACAGTGGTATTAGAACTGAGAAGTCTGCATTTTTTAAAAAAGCTATCATGGAGTCTTATTCTCTAAATTTTGAGAATGACAAGCATTGCTTAACAAAAGGATACCCTTTAAGAAATTATGTGCTTGTATGTGTGTGGTGCGTGCACATGAGTGTGTAACTGTGCTTGTCCATGTATGCACATCAGAGGCCTGAGAATAACATCAGATGTTGTCTTCTGTTGCTCTCTGCTTTATCCCCTTGTTCCAGACTAATTGTGTTGAAAGTTTGCTGTTTTCAGGCTAATCTAGCTACCCAATGATCTGCCTCTCTCTTTTTCCCAATGCTAGGGTTACAGGCGTATGCAACCATGCTGTCTTAGTTAGTGTTCTCTGCTGTGAAGAGACACTGTGACCAAGGCTAGTATAAAAAGAAGCATTTAACTGGGGGCTTGTTTACAGTTTCAGAGGGTTAATCCATTATCATCATGGTGTGAGGCATGAAAGCATGATGCTGGAGAAGTAGCTGAGAGCTTACATCCTGATCTGTAGGCAGCAGGAAGAGAAAGACTCTAGGCCTGGCTTGGGCTTTTGAAAACCTGAAAGCCCACCTTCAGTGGCACACTTCCTCCAACAAGGCCACACCCACTCAGACAAGGCCCACCTCCTAATCTTTCCCAGTTTGTCCAGTGAGGACTAAGCATGCAAATACATGAGCCCCTGGGGTCCATTTTCATTTAAACCACCACACTTGCTTAACTTTTTATATGGGTGCTGGGGAGTTGAACTCAGGTTCTTACGCTTATACAGCAAGAACTTTTACCCACTATGTCAGCTCAGTTTTTTTTTGTTTTTGTTTTTTTTTTTTTGGTTTTTCGAGACAGGGTTTCTCTGTGGCTTTGGAGCCTGTCCTGGAACTAGCTCTGTAGACCAGGCTGGTCTCGAACTCACAGAGATCCACCTGCCTCTGCCTCCCAAGTGCTGGGATTAAAGGCGTGCGCCACCATCGCCCGGCTATGCCCCCTCTTCTTATTTCATACCCAGCACCCAAGAGACTGCCTGATGTACAGAGTTCTCAGCTAGCTGTCACAGAACTGATGGACCGGGAAGATGACCCTGGGCAGGTGAAGTAGCATGCATATAGGAGGCTCCTGTAAGGCTGGGTGGCTGAAGCAAAAGGCGTACAGAGGACAAGGCCATGAGGACCTGGTCACTGTCCTGTAATAACAAGTCACCATTGAGCCCCCAGGACTCCGTGCACCACAGTATTTCACGTTGTGTTCCCTTGTCACAGCATTTGTCTGGGCGGCTCCAAGACTGCAGGAGGGTGGGCTCTGAGCCACTCAAAGACAGACGGGTTTTGTTTTGCTTTGTTTTTTTAAGAAAGAGTTTCTCTGTGTAGCCCTGGCTGCCTTAAAATTCCCTCTGTAGACCAGGCTGGCCTCCAACTCAGAGATATGCCTGCCTCTGACTCCCAAGTGCTGGGATTAAAGGCATGTGCCACTACCACCCGGCTCATCCTGTTTTAAAAGTTTTGTTTTTTGGTAGGGTGTGGGGTTGCACACCATTAATCCCAGGCGGGCAGTTTGAGTTTGTCCCTGTCTACACAGACAGCTTGGGTCAGCCAAGACTACACAAAGAGAATCTGTTCTCAAAGCAACAAAAAGCAACAACAATAACAAAAGATTTGTTTTTATTTTATGTGTATGAG